CCCCTCAGCTCGTGAGCGGCGAGCAGGTACTGCCGTCCGAGGGACCGGGTGGCTCCCCGCAGGGCGAGCGGGGCAGAGGCCGCGGCCCTGGGCTCCTCAGCCAGCCAGATGCACCGTCGGATTTGCAAAGGGGTCACGGAGCGAGCTCCGGAAACAGTCACTGTGCCGATAGGCAAGTGGACGGGGCTTTTGTGGGCACGTGGCACCCGGGCACATCCTCCCCCCGCACCCCTGCCTCAGCCAACACCCGCGGGCGCCCCTGCCCCAGAGCCAGTCCCTCGGGAGAAGCAGGTGGCCGGAAGACGTCCGAGTGTGTGTCGCCGGGTCTGTTAGCGAGTGGACTTTGTCGTCACTGTAACCACTCGGCCCCTTGACCCTCTGTGTGTCTGGAGTGGAGGCTGGATTTGCTGACACCTCATATCATACACCCCAGTGTACTATCAGAGGTCCTGTTCCTGACCCAGAGATTAGAACTGAATAGACTGTCTTAAAGTAACAGCATTATAAGCGATTTTAAAGTTATTCATGGGAACGTTTTGTGTGGTTTATTCCGAGGTAACGTATTCTTTCTCAGAATTTACTTTTCAAGCGGAGGTGACGTACGGTGTCACGCAGCGGCAGGGGTACTGCATGTGGTCAGGCTCCTGTGTAACTGCGAAGCGGTCGCCCGTAAGCGCAGCGCCTCGGGCACACACAGCTGCTGCAGGGTCGCTCACCGTGCTCCCTGCTGAGCTCACATCCGCCGCTGGCCTCACCACCGCCATCTGTACTTTTCAATCCCTTCCCTTTGCACCCCCCACCCCCAGCTCCCTCCCATCATGCAACTAACAGCTTGTTCTCTGTGTCTGAGTTTTGTTCATTCATGTTATTTTTTACATTCTGCATATAAGCGATATCGTACAGGGTTTGTCTTTCCCCGTCTGACTTATTTCACTTCACATTACCCTCTAGACCAGCGGTTCTCAACCTATGGGTCGTGACCTCTTTGGCGGTCAAACGACCCTTTCACAGGGGTCGCCTAAATCCATCCTGCATATCAGATATTTACATGATGATTCATCACAGTAGCAACATGACAGTTATGAAGCAGCAACGGAAATAATTGTATGGTTGGGGGTCACCACAACATGAACTGTATTGAAGGGCCGCGGCGTGAGGAAGGTTGAGAACCGCTGCTCTAGGCCCATCCCTGTTGTCACGGACGGCACTATTCCATTCCTTTTCCCGGTGGGTGCATCCGTCCTGTTCACGCACCTCTGCTGTGTTAGCCGCTCGTCTGCCCACGGACACCAGGTCGCCTCCGTGTCTTGGCTGTTGTACATTTTGCTGCAGTGAACAGAGGGGCGCATATGTCTTTTCAAAGCAGCATTTAGGTTTTCTTCAGACATATTCCCAGCAGTGGAATTGCTGGGTCACATGGCAGTTCTATTTTTAATTTTCTGAGGAATCTCCATACTGTTTCCCACAGCAGCTGCCCGGTCTGCCTCCCACCAGCAGCCGTGGGGTCCCGTTCTCCACGCCCTCGCCCGCACTGGTCTGCAAGCCATTCTGACAGGCGGGAGGTGGTGTTGCGTGGGTTTTGATTGGAATCTCTCTGATAGTTACGGACTTGGAGCGTCTTTTCATGCGTCCGTTGGCCACCTGTGTGTCCTCTTTGGAGAAGCGTCTACACGGGTCCTCTGGCCTTTTTTAAAATTGCATTGTTTGGGTTTGTTTTTGTTTTTATGTTGAGCTATGCGAGTTCTGGATAAATTTGGATATTGACCCATTATCAGATACACCATTTGCAAATATCTCCTCCCATTCAGTATGTTGCCTTTTGTTTCGGTGATGGTTTTTTTTGTGATGCGAAAGCTTTTTAATTCGATGTATTCTCATTTGTGTGTTTTTCATTTGTTGTCTTTGCCCGTATAAAAAAATTACCAGGCCCACATATGTGGGTTTGTCATAGTTGCCTTTATTATGTCGACGTACGTTCCCTCTACCCGCACTGTGCTGAGAGCTTTTATCATCATGGATGATGGATTTTGCCACATGCTTTCTCCGCGTCTAGTGATAATGATCATATAATGCTTATCCGTCATTTATTTACGTGGTGTATCACGTTCATTGATATCTGAATATTGAACCAACCTTGCATCTCCAGAATAAACCCCGACTTGGTCACGGTGTATTATCCTATCACTGTGTTGCTGGATTTGGGTTGCTGATATTTTGTGGAGGGTTTTGCATCTGTGTTCATCAGGGATGTTGGCATGTGGCTTTATTGCTTTGTAGTCTGTCCGGCTGGGGAGTCAGGGTGATGGTGGCCTCGTGAAATGAATTTGTGACATTCCCTCCTCTTCCGTTTTTTTGGGAGAGTTGGAGGATAGTGTTCCTTGAACGTTCGGTGGAATTCACCGGTGAAGACATCTGGTTTGCTGGTTTGTTTTTTATTATTGATTTGGTTTCATGACGAGTAGTCTGTTCAGGTTTCCTGTTTCTTCTTGAGTCAGTCTTGGAAGATTGTATGTATATTTCTAGGAACTGATCCATTTGCTCTAGGTTGTCCAGTTTATTGGCATATACCTGTTTGTAATAGTTTCTTATAATCCTTTGTATTCCTGCCACTTCTCCTCTTTCATTTCTGATTTTATTTTTCAGCGGCGGGGTGGGGGTGCGGGCTCTCTCTTTTTTCTTGATGTGCCTGACTAAACATTTATCAATTTTGTTTATCTTTTCAAAGAACCAGCTCTTGGTTTCATTGATCTTTTTAATTATTATTTATTGTACTTATACAGGATCTTTCTACTTCAGTCTTCGCACTAGCTTTCATTGCTTGATTCCCTACTCTGACCAAGCGTTTGCCTTTGTCATGAGGTTTTTCCCGCTCCTGTATTTTCTTATTCATATATTTTCATCTTTTTCTTTCTGCCTAAACAAGCTCCTTTAACGTCTTTTGTGATGCTTGTTAGTGGTGATGAACTCTTAGCTTTTTCCTATCCAGGAAACGCTCTCTCTCCTTCGATCCCAAACGATGCCCTTGCGGGGTAACCTCGGCTGTGGGGCCTTGCTGTTCATCACTGAATGCCACCTGCCAGTCCCTTCTGGCCTGCCAAGTCCCTGCGGGAAACCAGCTGGCAGTGGTGTGGGAGCTCCCCCGCAGGTAACTGCCTGCTGCTGGCTTTTGCTCCCCTTCACAGTTCTGCCTCTAGCCTTCGGCATTTTAAATACGTTGTGTCTTGGTGCAGCCTCTTTGGTTTCCTGTTGTTTGGGACTCTCTGTGCTGCCTGGACTTGTACGTCTATTTTCTTTGCCAGGTTAGGGAAGTTTCAGTCATTATTTTTTTAAATAGGTTTTCAATCCTTTTCTCTCTCTCTTCTCCTCTGGGATCCCTATCTTGTGAAAGTTGTTATGCTTGATGTCTCAGAGGTCCCTTAAACTATCCTTTTTAAAAATATATGTTTTTATTGATTTCAGAGAGGCAGAGAAAGAGAAACATCAATGATGAGAGAGAATTATTGATCAGCTGCCTCCGGCATGCTCCCTACTGGGGATTGAGCCCACAACCCGGGCGTGTGCTCTTGACTGGAATCAAACCTGGGACCGTTTGGTCCGCAGGCCGACTCTCTATCCACTGAGCCAACCTGGCCAGGGCAGACTATCCTTTTCTTTAAAAAAATTCTCTTTTCCTTTGCTGCTCTGATTGGGTGTTAGCTGCTACCTCGTCTTCTGGGTCACTGACTCCATCCTCTGCTCCAGCTGATCTGCTGTTGATTCCCTCCAGTGTATTCTTCATCTCAGCTATTGCATTTGTTAGCTCTGGTTGGTTCTTTTTAATATTTCCTATCTCTTTGTTGAAATTCTCAGAATTCCCTCCTCCTTCTTCCATGTTCACCGAGGAGCCTCATAACCAGTGTTTTGAGCTCTGTAGCGGGTCGGTTGCTTGTCTCCATTTTGTTTGGTTCTGTCCTTGAGGTTTGTCCTGTTCTTCATCCGGGACATGAGCTAATCTCATTTGGGTGGACCTCCATGTAGTAGGCAGATGTGCTGTGTCTCTCAGTCTTACAAGTGTCCTGTGGGCCAGCGGAGCAGCCCCCTTAGCCACTGGGGCCAGTTCTCCAGGGGTGTCCTTCTGTGGTGGCATGTGCCCTCCTGCTGGAGCTGGGCTTTGCCACTGCAGGCACTGTGGTGGCGGCTCGCCCCGGCTGACTGGCCGCGCGGGCTGCAGCTGTCGCAGAGGAGCACTGTGTGGGGACCGGCCCCCGGAGTCGTTCCTTCAGAAGGGCTGGTTGGGTGGGCATCTGGTGTGGCCTGAGCCAGCCTCCAGGTGCGTGGGGTCTGGAGTCCTGGGAGGGCCCCGGCGTGGGTGGGGCTGCCTGGTGGGAGCTGCAGTGCTCCCCGAGACTGGCTGCCACTGTGTGGGGCTTGCTGCCCTCCGAGGGAGCCTGCAGCGGGAGCTTCTGCCAGAGGCTCGGGTGCGAGAGGGATGGGGCGGCCTCAGGGAATCAGCGGGGCTGGCAAAGGATGGTCGCCAGGCTAAGGGGGAGCACGAGTTTGTGTCCACCTGCGCAGGGCAGTCGGGGAGGAGAGTGGCACAGAGGAACAGCGGTGCCCGCCCTTCATCCTGGGGAAGGTTCCCGGCCCTCGTCCCAGCCCTTACCCTGGACTTGGGCACCCGAGCTCCCCTGCTGGAGTCCCTGGTGCCGCTCCGGCCGCTCCCCTTACTGGGCCTGAGAGTGGGGCCCAGCCAGGGGTGGGCCTCCTCTTCCCAGAATTGGTGTCCTGCTCTGGGAGCCCTGCCTGGGCTGGGACGCCCTGCTCCTCGGGAAGGGGCAGACCCCTGCAGGCGAGACATGGCTGTCACATGGTGTGGGCCCCGCCCCTCTGGGGTCTCCCGTGGCCTCTTTCTACCTGAGTTCCAGGCGTTCTGCTCGGCTGGTCTCCCAGGGGCTCATTTTTGTAAGTCTGATGTGGTCGCGGGAGGAGGGGAGCTGTGTATCTACTCCGTCATCTTGACTCCACCCGAGAATGCCCCTATTAACACTGATTCACCCGAGAGCATGAGCGTAGAAT